GGGGGGGTCCTGAAGCCCAAAAAAAACTCTGGATCCGCCCCTGACTGTCACTCAAAATGCCCAGTCTCAGATTCCAAAATCTGCAGTTTCCCTCCAAAAAAGGGAGAGTTGACAAGTATGCACTATGCTAATCGGTGTATGTTTGTGTATTGCTTAACCTTGTATAATGTTTATTTTGAACCGATGAACCGCAAGGTTCAAGGTAATTATTTACGTTCTAGTCAACACATCAGCGCAGGTAACGTATTTCAAATTCTTTATTTCATCTTGAGCATATACATCTCACCGATTCAAAGGAAAATTTCATAATGTACATTCCAAATCAGCACAGGCTGTAAGAAACAATCAGCATATGGAATTTATAGTTAAAATACAGGTGTTTTTATGAAGTAAGAGCTTGCAAATCAAGCTAGTTAGAAGCCAACAGAGTAGAACGTAGTAAACATGCATGAACTTACCCAGGTTAGTTAATTCGTTGACATTACCGGTTGATAATAATTTGATGAATTTATAGACAGAGGGATTAACACGATTATATAATATAATATATTTATTTCGTAGTTCGCTGAAGGAGGGGCATTTTAGAATGAAGTGGAATTCGTCTTCTATATCATTTTTACAGAAAGGACAAAGTCTTAAATTATGAGGAATTTTTCTATGCCTTCCAGTTTCTATTAAAAGATTGTGTGAAGACAGTCGTATTTTGACAATTGCTTTTTTGTACTACAGGAATAGGTTTACTTAAGTAAGGTTGAAGGCAGGCATGATCAATAATATATTGATACACCCTGCACTTAGACGAGGTGGAGAAAAACGTCTCACTATTGCCACGCGGAGAACATGTACACTATAGCCTGCGGGCAGATTGATTGACAGCTTTGGTACGTATGAGAGGTATACCTAATTAGTGATGAGTTATATCACCAGTAATTCTGTGTTGGTCAGGGAACTTCTGTCAGCAACGACCCATAAAGCTCACAGGAATTGAGTGGTATATCATGATATTATCTGCAGGTTTACTTTCCGATCAGCTATAAAATACATGTGTACATGGAATGTAGAAGAAGAAAAAAATAGTATTCGTGCAACGAAATAGCGCCGTAAACTTTTCAATAGAATAGTCTGTATTTATCACAATACATTAATGGCTGCAATACATCGTATTGTATTACTGTAGTGAATATGTTTATGTTGTTATTGCCTTTACTGCTTATTTATTGATTGAACCTCCGTGCTACAACAATATCGTTCATTGTGATTTCGTATTTCATTTTTATACTATGCTTTTGTATCACAACCTGTAACGTACATTGTAGCAGACATATAAATTATATAAAAAAAAAAATCAAAAATTAAAAAAAAAAATGCACATTTGTAACTACAAAGTAGTTTGAAGGCAAAATAGTAAAACACAGTGAAATACATACATAGACATGTACATGTAGAAAAGTCGCAAAGTGATTGTTTATATTTCTAATATACATTATTTTAGATTCCTTGCAAAGACGTCATGTAAATACCACCCTTTTATTTGTTCAGTTATGTGCACGTTGCTTGCCTAAATGTATAAAAGTGATTGTAAGCCATTGTTTTTTTGTTTTCACAATTATAACCATTACTAGTATCCATATGTTGTAAAGCGCTTTAGAGTAATTTTACAAATTATATAGGGCGCTATATAAATGTTTATTATTATTATTATTATTATTATTATTATTATTATTAACATAAACAAAATCAACATAGCTTCAAAAAGAAAATTTGATATAAGGAGCTATGTACGTCTCTGATTGTAGTATATAATTACATTAGAAGCTTATTGTATTAAAATGTAGTGTTGTGATGTATGTCGTGTTATCGTTCGATACTGTATTCCATTGCAGTATGCTGTGTTGCATCATCATTGTCTATCGTGAAGTATTTTATTCAATTCAAAATATTTGATTGATAATTTGTTGGAATTCAAATAATACAGATGAACAGATAATAAGAAATACAAAACAACACATGTATTATATAATCATTGTATATGTGTATATAGCTACCGGAAATAGAGGAAGACTGACATAGGCATAGCCTGTTGTCCGATTCCTTTTTCAATACTGTACTAACATCTTCTTTGATATATATACAACGTATATATGTTTGTAGTATATATTGTCAATAAAATACTGTTGAATTGTATTATCAGAAGGATGGGACAACAGCCAGGCTAAGTCTATACCAGTCTTTTCCTAAGATTACCGGTTGTATATCACTTATTATATTAGGTTAGACCACGGACTTAGATAACTAATCTAATTCCGTGGTTAGACATTAGGACAATAAAGGGGAAATACGATTAATTAATTACGTAATTGTTTATGCTGTGTTCATTGTAAATTGTTGTATCATTATAATGCATAAGTATCATTTTGAAATGTCTACTCTCCAATGTGTCTTACGGCACAAGAAAATAAACAAACAGAACCTGAAAAACTGACATTAGAAGGCTGTGTTAATCTACAATTCTAAACCTCTGACTGACTAGAATATGTATGTGTTTTATAGTAGATCTCTGTCGTGTATTTACAAGTCGAGCAATGAATATAAAAAGGCTTTTAATTTTTGACTTCTAGTTTTGTTTAAAAGGTTTTTTTCTTTTCTTTTTTTTTTTAACTCGCCGGTAGATTAATTGGAAAATGGAAACAATATTTCATATGTCTGGTTATTACCAGGAAAGCTAAATTATAGCTTAATAAAATTCATTGTTTGTGTTAGATGATAAACATACCAAACAAAAGTCGCCATCTGTTCAAGGCTAATCAATCATGTCTTCATTTTGTACCAAGCTTTGTAAGCTTCAACAATGATTTAAGGAAACTTGAAACCGCTGATATTTTCCTTACTATCAAAATAAAAACGTAAACATGTATAATTACTTGGTTCAAACACTCCACCGTTAGGAATATAACTTTATAACATAAGTTTCTTGTATTTCAGCTAAAAATTCAAATTATATTTTCTTGGTTTACCATACTCAGCTAATTAAGCTCAATACAATATATCCAGGTAATCAAAATCACACCTGTCATATCGCCAGTCTGGGCCTAATTAAATCATTTCATGGCCGTTCGTCCAGTTAATAACACGCTAATTATATGCACATACATTTGTTGCAATTGTTAACAGTGTAAACACCGAGGGGTTTACACACTTACAAAAGAAAATAAGGAAGCATAAATCTCAAAATGTATCGCACCTATTTCGGTCCGGGAAGATTATATCGCGTACCTGTTGTGCAAATGCATGATGGGTAGAACGTGACGTCACGCGGCTAAATGTAGCTCTATTCGAAACTGACGATGGAGTAGATACTTTTAGCCTTGTATCCTTGTTTTATTCTGTTATTCCTCCTCCGTTTTATGTTTGATGAATTCTTAAGGATATTTTACGTGTCCTCGATGGACGTTGAGTGCTAACAAGCATCATGTTTAAGTGTATTCCGTTGTTCAAGGCGTGCAATCGTCAGGTCGAATATATCGATAGGCGACACTGCAACCTGACTGATGTTCCAGACGACGTTTTGAGATATACTCGTAGTTTGGAAGAATTACTTTTAGATGCTAATCAACTGAAGGACCTGCCAAAGGTATGTAAAAATATGGCCAAATCCCGAATGTGTTAAAATAACATCATTATGCCGGTAACAGTGAACCGAATCTTACATTTCTCATTCGTCTTTCAGGGATTTTTTCGCCTGGTACAGTTGAAGAAATTGAGTTTAAGCGACAATGAGATCTGTCGATTATCGTCAGATGTGGCCAGTTTTATCAACCTCATGGAGATGGATGTCAGCAGGAATGGTAAATGATTTTGTTTTATTCATAATTCGTGTAAAGCAAGCTCCATATTCAACCGACTTGAATGTCGGAAGTAGAATGAACGACGCCATCTTGGAAGATAATACATTCGCTAGCCCTAGTTCGCCAGAAAAAAAACATCAGGGCTATAGTAGTGTGGGACCTTTATGCTTTGAAGCTGTTAACACATTTGGTATCATGACAAAGGTTGACAGTTAACATATGTTTGTAAAATAAGCGTGAAGCCTAGATCTGGAAGCCTGTGTATTGTGTTGTGTATTACACTGTTTACATGGGAGACAACTCCGGGTATACTCCCTTTTTCCCGGAATGTCAAGAATGCTTACATGTCAAACAAAGTTTACAGGCATATTAGGTGCTTTACATAATCAGATAATGAATATGGTCCCCTATGTTACTTTCTCTTGCTTTCATCTACATAATCAAATAAATATTCAAGATTATACATCAAGTTCAATAGAGCTCTCCAACATCTTAAAAAATGTAAGCTGACAATACTTAATCAGTTTAAACCCACATGTTTCCCTTGAACTCTTTAAGGAGTCACACATAAAATGATCATATCACAGACCATTTATGCAACGTAATTGTATTAAATGGTAAACATACAGGTCAACAAACTTATTTGGAAAGTTTTATGGAATGTTGTGCTATTTTTCAAGATATTTGATTTTTTAAATATGAATCCTAAGGCTAAGTTATATAACGTTTATCTTTAAGAAGTTTTCTTCGATCGTCATATAGAAAATTTGATAGTTCAACTTTATTTATCAAGTGATTTTTTATGTTATAAATTCAAAATAGTAGAACCAGATTTCCAAATGAAAATGTAAAGCTACCTAATAAGGAAGACACACAAAGTCATCTTTGGTTGTTCAGACAGCAATAAACACTAAGCTGCATGTTGATACATATACAAAATATATGAAAAAATCATTCCTTGCTTTTCAAAATGGCTTCCAGCTCTGTGTTGGCGCTAAATGTCTGCATATGGAGCACAATTTGCCTCCAAATGAACCTTGTTTATGTAATTCTTTGTTTTACATACAATAGAAGGGTCATACTCACATGACCACACCGTACACAAAAATAAACACACAAAAAAATTGACCTACCTACCCTGTTTTTTTTGCCTATGCAACTCTAAACAGACTTTTTGTACGACCGTCAAATTTATAGTCATGATATGAAGCTGTGTCTCCCTTAAAAGAATTTTGATTCGACGATTTTTGCAAAATTAATTGCCTTTTGTTCATTTCAGTATCTTATTTTTTGTCTGAAGATTTTCTCCTACGTTTTTTTTTGCATATCAGCGGTTACTCTTAGAATGATGAAGATCTTATTTTAATGTAAGAAAGTATATAACACTATATGGCATTCGACGGGCGTATTTTGTTCCGCCTCGCGGTACTCTTGTTATTTTTTGCCTAAGCATGTGCATACATGTGTAATGAGTGAGAGTTTTTTCTACCCCATTGATTTTTCTACTTCCTTTCCACAGGGCCTGTACCTGTTGATTTGGGAAAATATCACCCACAAAATCATGATTTTGGTAAATAAAGTGATTTTTTTTGCATTGATTTTGGGAAAAAAGACCAAAAATTAGCTGGGGGTTAAAAGCCCCAAATAAACCTTAAAAAAAAATCACTGTACCCTGGAATGATTCACACGGTTGTGGACATATAATGGTGTGATTTTTCTCTACATTTACTTGTGGGAGATATTTTTCACACTATCGTGATAATCAAGCTGATTATTGGATTTAAAAATGATCAGTGTGTTCTTACATGACAAGTTTACATTTTGAAGGAATGCTATCGATTTGTTTGTGATTTTGAGGATCTTAACATCTATGAAATTCAACATTTTTCATATAATTGTATAATTAGATACATAAATAGGAAATCTTTCCTTCTTTACTAAAGATGATTTGAATTTAAGAATATTACTGATTTTGTTCATTTAACAAAAGTTAAAGGTTTAAAAGCATAGAGAATGAGCATTTTCAAGAACAGAAAAGAGGAATAATTTAAAGAAAATCAGTAAATTTCTAGCACAACGCTCTAATCAAGCCGAGGGAAATCTAAAAGAGAAAGAGGAATTTTTATCCAGACAAATTTGATCATGAACAGTAAAGAACTTAGGCAGGTCCCTGATTAACTGTCATTGGTCACTTCTGGGAGAGTTTTTTTCTACCTTGTATCAAATATATGGTTCACAATTCTTGACACAATCAGTAATTGAGTGTAGATGCATTTGCTAATGTGTGGCCATAATTAGCTGTGTTTTATTAAGGTTTTGTAGAGAAGAAAATTGGAATTCATCAGTCCTTCCTTGAAAATTCCCCCAAAAAACTTCAGGGTAGACACAAAAATATAGGCAATATCAGGTTAAGGGAAATATTTCTACCCAGTAGTAATTCACACTTCTGGACATACAAGCAAGTGATGTGTGTCACTGTGAACATACATGTATGCAACTTAAGTCGTTTCTACCTACGTGATATAATGTTTATATGTGTGTATAGTCTGTTCACTAACTGATACCGGAGAATCCAGACTCGGAAACTAGATACGTCTTTGTTTATACAGTTTGGATGGTTGTCCAGCTGTACTACTTTACAATAACAATATCACGGTGTCCTACTGTACCAGGGGTAAGCTAATTATAATATCATCACAATCCACAGGCACCAACTATATCTACATGTAGTATAACAGACCATTACCATAATTTACTTAATAAGCGCCCCAGCCCTTATAAGTGCCCTCTATCCTTTTTCTGGTGAAAGGGTCCTGTCTCTTCGCTGCAATTTACCAACGTATTTGATGAAAGTGTCTGTTTTGGTGGTTTTATGAAAAAAATTGAAGGTTCTGTGATAATTCTAGTCTCTAAAATGCATCCATATGCTGGAAATTGATGAAATTTTGCTCCGTCAATATTATTTGCAAGCTAATATAATATCATGTTAATTCAATAAAGGTGTTTGTGTTTCATAGCTGTCAGTTTCAAGATTCACAATACATGTACAACATATAATACTGGATTGTCACAACAATTACAGGCCTAGAATCAAATCTTGAAAAAATCAAGTTCGTAGATCTATAAATTATAATAATCAATATATATGTATAAACAAATAAAATTTTAGCAAATGAAAATGCTACAATTAATACCCTGAGGTTATATTTGATAATTCAATATTTATAAACATTAAAATAAATAGCTTCCGAGACTTCAGTACACAACCCTTTATATTGTTGCCATTGACCAATACATCAACGATTTATAACTGAAGTATTTCAAAATCGTAAAGTAGTAAGCTTGAAATTAAATTTGTGAATTCAGTCATGAAAATTTGGTGATATTATATATTGTCAAGGAATACCTTGCATCAATTTGTTGAGGATATATGCAAAACATGTATAAGAGAACTGAGTTGCTGCAATTGCTTAACTCTTGCCGCCATATTGTTTATATTTAAGACACCAAACACAAACATCTTGCGGCAAATGCATAAACAATTAGTCAAATTATAAAAAAGTGTACTCTGCACAAACATAATTATTTCTTCCAAACTGATGGGTTCTGATTTTAGCGACAATTAATTGATTTTTCGCGACAGTCTCGTGCGATAACCAGCTAAACATAAGGCAGGTTACACCCAAGTCTCTTGTCGTGTGTACACGACAACGGGGATGTGACAGCCCTTTATTTTGTCGTCTGTACACGACAACGGGGACCAGGATGACATATTGTTGTCGTGTCTACACGACAACGGTACGGAAAGAGATAACAGAAGTATTTGTTCAGAGGCATAATCTTTTGTGCTGATTTGAATATGCATTTCAAGCTTTTGGGCCAGGGGTCTAAAGGCAAGGTCTTCGCAACTATGTCATTAATAATAGTTTGGTGTGATTGCCTATTCTTATACTATTTCATTTGACTTCATGGATCTGTTCACAAACATCATTTCTTGTAAATGTTTGCATTTCAACTTTCTGAGTCAGAATCAAGCAAATGTTATAATTATACTATAGAATAAGGTGCCATTTCCTCACAGACTTCAAGTTGAACATAGATACAACATGTATATAATGTAATCTAGAGAGTTTTCATTGATTTTGCAGAATTAGTTCAAATATGGAGAACAAGCAATGTGAAGTTTGAGGTGGCAGTTTATTTTTAGTCTGTGGTTCATCATTTTTATGGTTCACAGGCTTTTGATGCTAAATATATGGAAAATATATAGTGTACTTGGGTACACATCTATAGAAAATATAACACCTTTAAACATCAAAGAGGAAGAAAGAAACGCAAACTTATTTTTAGCAGTTAGTGGTTCATGGGTGACAATTTAAGGCTTTGCATTTTAAGATAACTTCATTAGTATTGATTCTTTATAAAGTGTTGATGAAATTTGGTGTAGTGTCACCGGCGTTGTTTGTTTAAACAATGTTAGGACAAGCTGATTTCATTATTAGTGATTAAGCTTTGATGAATTTTGTTGACAGTTTTGAATTAAATGATGTTAAAACAGGCTTAAGGGGCACCCTGAGCCATTTGTTTCCCTTATAACAATGAAGTAACGTGCCTTTGTAGTGCTACATTCGCTCGTTACCTCCAACTCGTCAACCTGTTTATTGTCCTTCGATCCACGCTTTAGTTTGTCACTACTGAGGCGCTTCTCCTCCTGACCTTCTGGTCAAACTGGTCCCACAGATGTGCGATTGGGGACAAATATTCACTGTTTGATGGGCAATCGATCTTTAACACGGTTTTGGATATGGAAGTCACACTCATTAAATCTTGGTCATTTGTGAGATTTTGTGTTATCAGGCTGTGATGCAAGATTATGCTGAGGAACATTTTTGTGGTTAAACTGGAAGTTTAAAAATTGTAAATTGATCAAGATTAATTTAGAAAATGGGGACCCATATCCTGGTTTTATAATGGATGGAACAGCAAAAATTACATGGATG